CCTCTGATTTTTAATACATTATATAATATAGTTAGATGATTTTGACTCTCAACTTTTATATGACATTACCTCATTCATATCAGTATATATATAATTAATTAAGCACTTCATATATATGTGTATGGTTATATGAAGAGCACCGTCTATCTTTTATTTTTATATCTATTTGTCATTACTATACATGGCTTTATAAGATTAGATGAACATGTGATTCTCATATAGTCATACATACACACACATAAAAGATTTACTTAATTAATTTGGATAAAAAACTAGTTAAATTAATTATTTATAAAAAATATATATGTTAGTTTTTCTTAAATATCTTCTAAAATAATAAATTAATTCTCATGTTTTTTTTAGTTAGAATTCATTACTCAAGTTAAAAACTTGGAATCTAATTTCAACATTTCAAACTAGACTTTTTTTTTTTGATACATCACATTTCAAACTAGACTTAACTCATATTAATATAATAAATTTTTAAAAAAAAATTTAAACTGGCTCGGGCTGGTATTAGTGCAGGCTACTTCGACCCGTACCGCATTCAGCCCTCACCGCTATGGCCCGACCCGTATCCGCAGCGCGAGCCTGCTTTCCCAGGTCTCCTGGCAGTCAAAAATCAAAATAACTGCATCGTCCATTTGTGCTTGCTCTTTCCCTGGACCCTGAAGCCGCTCAGCCCCCCGGCGGCGAAATTACTGAGCTCTGTTTCTTGTCGCAATTCTCTGTTGCTAGCGGCTTCTTTCTTTTCTGATTTCTCCGAGGAAGTGACGCACAAGCTTAACAAGAAGTGAGAACGAAAAGCTCTCTGGTTTCCTGGGTCTGACCATTTTCCAGTCTCTTTTAGATCTTTGCTTTTATATTATAGTTTAGTTGCAAGATTGCAAATTTGACCGTATTATGCAGAAATGGAAGACGAAAGCCCAAACCCTCTTCGCCGAATGTCAAGCCGAACTCGGAAGGTTGCACCGAAAATGGTTGCTGCTCTTGCTAGTAGTGACAATCGCACGCAGGTTGAAAACTTTGAATGAATTTATAAGCTCTGTTAAATTCAGAGTTATGAATTTCATTACAGCTCTTATGTTAAGTTTGGACTTCTAATTCTAGGCTGCGCTTGCTCGCCTCGAAGCTTTGGAGAATGATAATGCAGGATTTGAGACTGTAGAAGCTATTGACGACGATGAAGCTTCTCTAGACGATGAAGATCAAGGTTTATATCGCCTTGGTTTTCTGAAACTGCTTCTGTTTCTTTTCTTTTTCTTTAAATTCAATATTTGGTTGAAAATTGAGAAGCTTTCCCGCAGTTAGTGAAAATTTTGTATGGTGCATAGTGCTTCGGAATTTGTCCACGAAACAGTAGACTGTTATTAGGTACCCTGCGAAATGCTTGCATTAAGTTGTTAATGGATTCCTTTTCGTTGTTCTCTTTTTGGACCTCCTCGTGCAGTGTATATACAAAAAAAGCAGTCAAAGGGCACAAAAAGGACAACCCGGCAGGCAAAGGCACTTGAAGCAAGGAAGGCCCCAAGAACTTTCCTTGAGCTCTTACACGAGGTGAATAAACCATAAGCGATATACACTGAGAATCTCTTGCTTATATAGTTGCCTTGATGGTTTTATAGCTATATCTACATTTGCAAACACAGGCAAACCTAGAGTCATTACCTCCACATGTTCCATCTTATTGGAAAGCAGCAGTCGGACCTCCAAGCTCAACCTGCCGTCGCCATTTTTGTACAGTTTGTGGGTTTTCTGCCAATTATACTTGTGTTAGATGTGGTATGCGCTTCTGTTCATATCGTTGTCAAAATGTACACAATGATACTCGTTGCTTGAAATTTGTAGCTTGATACATGAGACATTTCGGCTTGGCTAGAAAAATGTATTATTCATATAACGTCAGATCAGAGGCACTGTGTTAAATATCTCAAGAAGTTTGCTAAATTCCACAATGGTTTTTACTTGTTTTTCCCGAAAGCAAGGTCCTTACTGAACTCCCCGCCCCAACTCTCCAGTTAAACCAACCCCCCCCCCCCCCCCAAAAAAAAAGAAAAAAGAAAAAGCACTTCCGTCAGTTCACTGATTCTGTGCTTGTTTAATTGTATTGACATCTTTGATGCAACTGACTATAGGCTTCGTTTTGGTCTTTCAGAATCAATCAATATATCGTTATATGTGATAAAATATCTAAAAAGTTGTCACCCAAAAAAAAAAAAAAACCCTGCAAATTTACCCAACTCACTAGCCATGAATAGTATGTTTCATTTCTCAGACGACTAAATACAGCCATACAAATTATATATTATTATCTTTAAGAAATCATATATTGTGATCCTATTGCGTTCTGCTGATTTGATTAACCCAATTAAGGAGGTCTTGTGATGTTAGATCAGGCTAGGTATCCGCGCATCATCATGGTGGCCACCTGAAAACTAGATATGCATCAGTTCGTTTTGCAGGTCTGGCTAAATTACGTGTTTGCTTCCTTATTATGTGGGTCATTCTGCCACTGTGGGACAAGGACCAAATTGGAGGAAAATTCTGTGGTAGCCTTGGTCTACCAAAGGTTGGCAGATCCTATTAATCATGAACAAGCATACAAGTATATTGGACATCAATCTCCGATTTGTCAGTATACATGCCTATCCATAACTAATTTGGCCTACTTAATTGACATAATCCACCCAGGAATCTCTTCTAAGAATTTATGTCTGCAGCCTTGACTTTCAACTTGCCAGAATGGAACATATTTTTCCTGAACAAAAGGACTGATCGTACAAATGATAAGAAACCATTCATCTTTTATTTGTCTTTCAAGAGGCTTACACAATCAGGGGAAAACAAGTAAGCTGCTCAATTGAGCATCATCCTATTCTGGACTAGGAATGAAGGTGGAAAACCACATTGACTATATAACGACAACAATTAGCCCTATCCCACTAGGTGAGGCTGGCTACATGGATCACACAATAAAGAAAACCACACTTACTATTTAGAAAATATTTGAAGAATATGCAAACAGCAAGCCAATATTTCATTAGCATAAAATTTATAACTAATGATGTATTCTTCATCTTAACATCTTGGTAGATCTGGTGGTGGTGGTATAACTGACTGTGACGGTCCAACTCCATTCTCTACGAGGAATGCCATTGACAAACCCCAATTGAGATGTGAATCTATATGACAATGCACGAACCAAATTCCTGTTTTGCACCAATACATGAAAATCATGTTAGTGATGTGTTTTTTTTCTTTTTTAAATACAAGTTGTAAGAGCAGGACTGATAAATTTTGTCAGTAGCATATTACCTGGATTATCAGCAACAAAACGAATGGCTACCCATCCTCCTGGAGGTGTTCCTATGGTGTTTCTCACAGGTGGATCAATAAGATTAAACTTAGCAGGATCCGTTGCTGGGTTGAAGTTGCCAAAACCTGAACCAACTATGTAGAAGTGGTATCCATGAATATGCATGGGGTGGTCCTCAGGTGTTACTATGCTCGTATCCTGGAAAATAAGTTGCACCTTGGAACCATATTTCAACTTGTAGAGCTTAGTTCCTCGAGCAGGTGTCCATAGGCCTCGGGGGACATTCCCTGTATAATTAAATTGCAGCGGAGGAACAGGAGGAAAGTCTGTGGTGAAGACACCAGGCATTCCTTGATAGTATGCTTGCATTAAGGAGGTAGTTCTTGGGAGTACCAAAGAAATATTGTTCATGCTGGCTGTGAAGCGAGTTCCATTAGGTCCTTGGCAACGGGGGCTATTAGGATTGGTGCAATTGATTAATCCTAACCCCACTATGAAGTTCAGACTCACATCAACATCTTGAAATACCTTAACCTGGGAAAGGCCCCTGAGTCCAGCATTGAATGCAGTTGCAGTCGCTGTGTCATTAAAGGCTGGCAGAGCCGGCAATATTGGTCTTGAATTTTGTCCACAATTCTTGCAGCTAGCAGAGTTGTACTCAAGGATTGCAGTAGTGGTGGTATTGTCAAAGGGAGCATTTTGGGCTGATTCATAGGCACGTGCTGCCATGTAGTAGCGACCTGGGGCTTGATCAGCAGTGAGAAGGACATTGATTGTCTGGCCTGGTGCTATCATCAGAACTGTTGTGGTGAAAGGCTTGGTATATGCAGCATCAGTGCCAACAACCGTCATCCTGTGGTTGGCAACCGAAAAGAAGAGTTCTTGTTCAAGTGCACTGTTGATTATTCTTAAGAGAATTGTCTCACCAGGTTCTACTGGAATCCGTACGGTATCTGCGTAATGATTTTGTCATGGGTTACAGTCAGTTCTTTATCCTTTTCAACCTTAGAGAATGTTAATCTACTTTGTAGTTGTGATATGAAAATATTCAAAACCTTGGCTGGAGCATCTGTAGAGATCACCAGGCTGACCATTAACGGTGTATGCAAGAGATACATTTGGGGGTCCCCCTGTAAATTGTGTCATCCTTAAGAGACTCATTGCATCCCTATCGAACCATTCCCCTGTTAATGATCAGAAATTATCAGTCATGACTGCCTTGGATTCATTGAACATGACATGCTCAGTATGACTTGATGGGTTAACTGTTTTTTGCAAGCTTAAATCACAATTCAATGGCAAGAAATGGGTATAGATGGCTGAGAAAGCTTAAGAGACTTACCAAGAAGGATGGGGAATTCTCGCTTTGGCATTGGGAAAGGATAAGGAGACCCCAATCTTGGGTAGATTATGAAAGCTCCATAGACAGTAGCTCTGAGGAATCCAGTATGAGCATGCCACCATAGTGTGCCTTCCTGGTTATTGATAGTAAAGCGGTATGTGTAAGTTCCTCCTGGGGGGATTGGACACTGGGTCACATAACTAGGTCCATCTGCCCATGGATTTTGCAGCATTCGAAGACCATGCCTAGAAGCACATCAGATTACGAGGAAAATCAAATATCAAGCATGGTGAACCAACAAGTGAATTACTCAAGATCAACGTGATATTGATTACCAGTGTATTGAAATGTTGTATCTTCCAGCATTGGTTACTTTGATAACAAGTGAATCTCCATTCCTTGTTTCAATTGCTGGCCCCGGGAATTGCCCGTTGACAGTGAGTACGTTGAGAGTTCTGCACAGCCTCTTCACTGGTGTATTTTGAATCTATTCCATTCAATATATGAAGCCATGCTAATCAGTAACTAGCTTCATCATAATGATAGTATATATCTATAATAAGTTAATAACCTGTAGCACATCATCATAAAGCTAACACTTACAACAAATTCATGGTAGTGAGTCTCTGCAGGTGGATGAGAATCAACACAAGCAGTGATAGTGAGCAGGATGAGCAACAGCCAGAGGCAACTTGACTTGCCAGGAAGGTGAAAAGTCTCCATTATTGTCTCTGGCTTTGTTGAATGGAGATGGCTTGGCACTGGTCTGATGTGCAGGTATTTATAGAGTGAAAAGAGAGAAAGCCAATCAAGGAATTTCTTTTTTATTAGTATGGGAATTTAGAAGTTATGGCCTTTTACATGAGAGTCAGCAGTGTACTTAATATTAAAGGGCAATTAGTCTAACCATAAAGAGGATTTGGTGCACCCACTAGCGCAATCATCTGTGGAGCAGATGTTATAGATAGTCTTTAGATTTTCATACAAAGAAGTGATCCACGATGAGACTGGGTAAGTACCTGAACATTTTTGCTAAAGAACTAGTAAACATGCTTGTTACCATAAGCCAAGCAAAATAGGTTTCCATTTAATATTGTTAAATTACTATCTTAATGAAATGTTTAAGGTTTGATTTGCAAATTTTTTATTCTTCTCTGATCCTTTCATCAGCCACAGCCATTTAGTTTGTAAAAATAAATGAGAAGGCAAATTGAGTTAGAGGCTTTCCTTTATTTTGTAATAATATAGACTTACTTTTCTCATATTTTTATCATCATTTTTTTAATTAAAATATGAGATGTAGTTTTAAAAAAAAAAAAATTCTTCGATGAATCCTATCATATAATGTTAGAGTTATAAAAAGTATATATTCATCATGCTATTGAGAAATTTATCCATATTGATATATTTGAATCAACATAATATTTCTAGCTATTCATGAATCAACCTATAATGAATTGCAAATAGCAATAGAGACAGTTGGAAACCAATAGGAATCTAAGTTGCAAATTGAGTCACACTTGAAATTTGAATATCTTATTTGTAATTGAGATTCCTAAATTTACAATGTTTGATGGTGTGTTTGGATTAGCATCTTAAAAGTGATTTTATAGAATCCAAAATAAATGTATGAGAGAAGTTTTGTTTCAGCTTGTGTGGAAACATTTTTTTGAAATATTTTTTAGGGTTTTCCAAACATCCCCTAAATTGATATTTGCAACTCATTTTTCAGAAAAAAATTGCAAGGTAACTGTCATAAACTCTTTTCTTTTGGAACCTAACTGTTACCCTCCCTTTATTTAATCCACAGTAAAACTTTGTGAATCAGTCGTTTGCTCGTCGATCTAAATGCCACTAAGGTCATGCAGATCATGCAATTTTATTTTATTATCCTTGCAGCTTAACTCCAGTCTTTATTTTCTTTCTAAACCAAGGAATTGAAAAAAACCAAAAAAAAAAAAAAACTACAAAGTAAACAACGGTACCATAATGTTGAGGTTGAGCTTCTGTTTGATTTGGTAATGAGAAAGTATGGACTTTGCGTTTGGTTGACCATTTCCAGTGATGTCAGAAAACGACATGAACAGCAATACTTAGTCCGCCATGCTTCTCGACGTTATATTATTATAAAAATAACATAAAATCGTATCTTTATTTGGTAGGACTTTTCTCAATGCATAACAACCTAGATTCCTTTAAAACTCTACTTTAATACTATATAAATGTCATAGTTCAACCCAGTCAGACCAAATTTTTCAATGTTGTGAAAGAAGTATCACTACCTTTTGGCCATCTTGGTCAAAAATCTTTACGTCAAGTTTTATAAATTTTAAAGGTTCAAATACAAGCCAAAGGGAATCTAACTAAAGAAAAAGCAAATGAGAATGTAAGGGACAACTGGGTCTGAAAGCATTTGATTTGAGTAAAAGCTCTTGATATCTTCAAAATAAATTAACTCATCTTCAATCTAGGCACTAATTGATATGATATGATTATACATCTTTTTCACATTAGGTATATAACATTCTGGGAAAATTAAAATTTTAGTTTGTATAGTTTTGACTTTATTGTATTTTAGTCCCTAAACTTCAATTCAATATGACTCATTTATTATAGTGTTGACTTAGTTAGAACTCGATCTTTTGACTTTATTTCTCTGTAACAGTCCCCCTAGTTTGAACCATTGAAAACTTCAGTTTCATGAAGTACCTAACCTTATGTTCTAAAATATAGGGACTAACATTTTCGACAATTAAACTGTAGGGACTAAGTTGTATTAAGTTGAAGTTTAGAGATTGAGTTACAATTTGAGATTGAAATTGACTCAAAACTATAAGAACAAAAAAATTAATTTTTATTAATATTTTACAAAAGAAGCAGGTTTCAAAGGGTTAACTGGTATTAATATAATTGTTACTCTATTGGTAGTGGTACTTGTGCCAATATCAGTAGTCAGTATGTGTTATGTGACTAAGTTGGCTTCTGATGTATTAGGTAGACCGCCACAACTGACTTTTAGACTAATCCCATCAATTTGTTAGTTAAACCTAACATAACAAGATTTGGAATAACTTTGCAATTATCATTGGTCCATAAAATACACATAGCAAGTGACAGTGTCAACCTCTGGATTTAATAAAATCAACAGATGAGGAATCCTGCCGAAGTTCTAGAATGGATTCTAGGAGTCAAAACCAATAGAAATTGAGAAATCAAACAGATTGGCTCTGATGTGAATTTTATCAGCATAACGTAGGAATTTTCTCCAGATCAAATAGTTTTGTATTATCTAGATGCATGCAAAAATGTATGCTATATCTAGAGGATATAACTAAGAAATCAGGAGAAAAGTATGACCCATCAACATGCAAGACAAGAACTAGAACAAAACCTTATCATATACTTTTCTGGTTCTATTTACAAGGTATTTTTAACATGTTTTATAGAACTAATAAAAACTACCTTAAACTTTAATAAATTTGTTTAACTCTTCCCTTATTTAATATGTGTTTTATACTTTAATAGTTTATTCTCATGAAGAATGAAGTAAGGGTATATAAATATGACCAAAGAAGTGTTTCTTTAATTCATAAACTAGAGAACAAGAAAGACAATCTCAGTGCATCATAAACAAAATATCTATAGTGCTACCTCTAGTTCTATGTAGGGGTGTTCATGAGACGAGATGGGAACGTGATAAGCCCGTCCTAGTCCTGTCCTGGTGAACAAGGACATGAAAGGATTTTTGTTTCATGTCCTATTTCCTTATTTGAAAAAAAAAATTGTAATTTTAGGTATGAATTTTTTTTAATATTATAATGTTTGTTTTCTATTAGGCTTTTAAAGATAAAAACATTATTAAAAAAATTATGTAGAAAGCAATGTAAAAGGGTGTAAAAACAATATTGTAAAAGAAACACTATATAATAGCTTTATGAATTATTTTATTGAAAAATAAAATTTTGTTAGGATAATACTACAACTCAAAAGCTGAAAATCATTATAAAAAATAATTATTATTAATAAGTGAATTGAATAATCTAATAATATTAATAAGTATTTTTTAAAAAAAAATCCCGAGATGGGACTGGGCAGGATGGAACGGCCTTGTCCCGTTTCAATTGCTATTCTATCTCGTATTCGTCCCGTCTTGAAATTTTTTTTTATATCGAGACAGGATAAGTTAAATATTGGGAAAATCCCAAAAAAGGTCCTTGGAATATGGGAAATGCCAGATTGGGTCCTTAAATTTCGAAAATGACAGAATGGGTCATTGACCCAATCTGTCATTTGTGAAATTCAGGCGAATTGACAATTTTGCCCTCATTTATTCATTCACTACAATGATTCAAGGAATCACTATAAGAGTTTAGGTGTTACCTAGATTCATATAGCGAATAACTATTCACTTTTTCATAGTCAGGTGTCTTGTTATTAACTACAACTAATGCTGTAATCACTAGAACAATATAAGCATTACCTAGATTTGTATAGAGAATAACTACTCATTTTTTCATAGTCAGGTATCTTATTATTGTCAGGTACCTTATTATTAACTACAACGAATCTTGTAATCACTAGAATAGTATAAGCGTTACCTAGATTTGTTTAGAGAATAACTACTCACTTTTGCTCAGGGGCAAAAATGTCAATTCGCCTGAATTTCACAAATGACAAATTGGGTCAATGACCCATTCTGTCATTTTCAAAATTTAAAGGCCCAATCTAGGATTTGGTATATTCCAATGGCTTTTTCTGGGATTTTTCCTTAAATATTCCTAGTTTAGTGTATTGGACGATTTAATCCACTATAATATTAATCAGAAGTTGAAGAAAATAAATCATCATAACCTCATCCATAATGCACATTGTCCGGTTGTTGTTTATGTTGTTATGTAGAAGATATTGATTTTATATTATAGTATGATCACTCCAAGATCCAAACATTTTCTTCGATGTTAGATTCAAATGTTATTTAAGTTTCATCATACCGTCTTGTTTAAGTCAGTGCTAAATTTTGAAGAACTCTTTGAATAATTCAAGACAATTATATATTATTTTTCATTTTTCATGAATAAACATTGAAAACGTAAAGAATGGGTTTATATACATTTTTAAGTTTCTTTTATTTTTATTTTCATTTTCCTTTTTTCCAAAATTTATTTTAAGTTAAATTCGCCAACCAATGTAATCCGCTGGGTAAGACAGAATTCTCAGCTTGTGGTTGAGTTAGATCATTTGACTTGTCTAGATCTGTTTTAACTCAACAGCTTCATGTCGCTTGGGTGAAAAACCACATCGATGCAGAATATCGGCACAGGGCAAGGGATCATACCCTTGCTTTAAATTTTAATGTACTGAGCATGGAATCATTAGAAGGACAAGTTTGAAAAATCCCAAGTTTCATTTAAGCCAATCAAAACCAATAATACATCGCCAAAATTCCTTGAAAAAAATGATTGCTTAGTTTAAACCCTAGTCCAACAGAGAATTTTACACGAAAATGAAACAAAACAGAAGCTGCTAAATTGCAGAAAACAGTGAAGCTGTTTCACAGAACTCTCTGACAAGTATCTCCTAGATCAAACTAATGAGATAACCAAAAAACGAAAAAATAACTAAAGCTCGGCTTTCCTAACTATCAGACTAACATTGGTGGGTATTTTCCAGTGATACAAGAGACATCTATCAAGCTGAAAACAAGTAACCTCGAGACCAGTTAATTGATGATGTTTCCTCAGAGTTGGGCTATCTGCTGTTTCATTGATCGTAATGACCTGAGTTTTAACTCACAGATCTTAGAAAATTCCATCAGTACTTCATGCTTCCCAGTCACCATTTTCCTTGCTACATCAGCAGGGCTCCAGGACTCAAGTGATTGGGAGATCCGATCACCGAGTTCTGCACCATCTTTGGAGTGAAAAAATGAGTCCAAAGTGCGAAATATTTGCCCCGGCCCATCATTCTGCTCATTGTTTCTAAAAGAGGATATAATGTACTCCACATTCTTATCCTCAGGAGTGTTTTTCCATTCCCTTATCCATTTCATGATCTCCTCTACCATACTAGACAAATGCTGCACAGAATTGGTGATTGTATGAACTAAACTAGAGCTGGAATGATCTACTGATCCACTCTTCTTTTTCTTTTTACCTGAAGGAAGACATGATCTCAGACAAGACTGGATTATGAGTCCATACCAGGCTAAAGGTTCTGTAACTATCTGTATAAGAAGCTGAACATCACCCCAAGAAGAACAGATTTCAGACTCCATGCTCTTCACCTTCTCTAAAATGTACTTCTCCAGCAAAGAATCTAAGATATTCCAAGTATGGGGCCTATTTCCATTTCCATCCGGCTGCACCAATTCACGGGAATTCAAATTCCATGCGTTTAAGAATACCGTGAAATTTAACCAGTCTATCAAGTTGGGGCCAAAAACCTGTGAAGAGGTTATCAAAAATAGGGATCAATCATCCAGTTGCAACATAAAAATAATTTTGCAATACTGAAACATATAGTAGCTAAGACTTTCAAGTTACTTGGAGCAGCTGTTTGAACATAAGAGAGAAGTATGTCTTGATTTCATACTAGTTAGGAGATAGAAAATGTTTGTCATACTAGTTAGGAGCCACATGGTATCATTGGCATTTGGTGTGGGTGCCATGTTTAGAGATACATAGTTTCATGATCCCATATAGACATATTTTAGCAGTAGCATAAAAAGCTCAATAATCTTACCTCAGAAAACCTTTCACCACCTGGAAAATCCATGATCACATCCACCGCTTCACGAAGAGAAAAGCCCAACAATTGAGCATAGCGCTCAAGCAACAATTTCAACTCTGAGGAGATTTTCGTTGGAACAGAACCATTGACCTCAACATTCTCCTTCATAGATGCTGAAGCACTTTGAATAGAGAGATATATCATTCGAGGAACTAGGGATCTTTTCTCAATCACTCTCTTGCAACTCGTCTCCCTTTCATTCATCTAATTTTGTTGGCAAACCATGCAGGGAAGAAAGGGAAAAGTTAAAATTGGAACAAGCATTATTGATAGTAATCAGCCACAAAATAGTCAAAGACTGAAATCACCTACCGAGATTCTTCTAGGACAAAAAGAAATCCCTTCAAATGGTCCTGAAACAGGTGCCAACAGCCAACTAAGTTTACCAAAAATGATCATCAAGAAAAAAAACATTGAAACATTATACCATACATAATCTGCATCACAAAATTAGAATCGACAATTAGTCAATAAAAATTCCTTAACAGAAACTATACATAAGTCAAATCCAATTATATCAGGCATAGTCAATTATTTTTGGGAAAACAATGGCAGCCTGAAGCCTTGGATGGGGTTGAGATAAGGGGCAGGGTAGGGACGGACTGAAGCCAGGTACATAATTTATTCACATATTAAGATAGCCATACCATCTGTAGATGTTAGAAGCCGTGATCTTCTCCCCTATATTCTCCCTTGATTTACTCTATAAATTACCTAGAATAAGTTTCTGATTTCTTGTGATATTGCATTATTCTGATTGATTGTAATCTCTTTTGCATCATTATTATTGATTGTAACCGGATTGCATATTTCCATCCGGACTCTATATATTGTACCGGGATCATATGAAATAATATATGAGTGAATTTACAAACTCTCAAACAATATGGTATCAGAGCTCTGGGTTCGGTCTGAACCCAGAAAAGCTCCGTGAGAATCTGCTGTGAGCCAGAGAGAGAGAGACAGCGCGGGGAGAGAGAGAGAGAGAGAGTGGGCGTCCTCAACCTGGTGCAAGGAGAGCTGCGTGGACGACACCACCCCTCCAGTCCTCACCGGCGTCCCTTGATCGGCCAGTCCCCAGAAGCCGACGTCGAACGGAGCTGCGCGTGACTCTCACGCGCCGTCACAAGCTCTGCGCGTGAAGCCCACGCGCCGCCACGCCCTGTCACTGTTCCAGCGCGTGAAGCCCACGCGCCGCCGCCATAGACCTCCAGTGCCTTCCAGAGACCCAGAAAATGGATGACCCAGAATTTCCACCATTGTTTGGATCTGTTCGCAATATTCCAAGGGCCTTCATGTCCGGTACATCTTCTAATACTCAAGCTACTCCTTCTAAAAACTCCACTGCAGAATCAGACTTGACAATAGCCACTGAACCTCAAGCTATGGGGGTAGCTCACAAACTTAATGGTAGCAACTATCTCCAATGGTCTCAAAGTGTGTTAATGTATCTGCGTGGGAAGCGTAAGGAGAAGTATATCAATGGAGAAGCACAACAACCTTCACACAATGACCCCAAATTTGACACCTGGTTCGCTGAAAATAATCAGGTGATGTCTTGGTTGTGCAATTCAATGACCCTCGAAATCAGTGAAGGATACCTTCTTGCAAGCACAGCCAAGGAAATCTGGGATGCTGCTAAGCGGACCTACTCTACCCTCGACAACACTGCAGCCTTATTAGATCTCAAGAGGCAACTCAAAGATCTGAAGCAAGGCAACTTAACTGTAACACAATACTACAGTACTCTGACAAAGATATGGCAGCAATTGGATCTCTTTGAAGTACATCCTTGGAAGGATATAGATGATGCTAACTACTACAGACAGTTGGTGGAAAAGGGACGAACATATGAATTTTTGTTGGGCTTGAATGATGTGTTTGAAGAAGTGAGGGGGAGAATTATGGGACTGAAACCCCTGCCATCCCTATTTGAAGTCTTCAGTATGGTTAAGTTCGAAGAAAGCCGACGACACCTCACCCAGGGTAATCTGACCCCAGCAGAAGGCTCGGCATTGGTGACGAGAGGGTTCCAGACCTCAGAGGGGCCTGAGAAGAGAGGGAACAAGTGGTGCAATCATTGTAACAAGAGAGGCCACACCAGAGATGAATGTTGGAAACTACATGGAAAACCAACCCAAGGAAAGCAGAAACGAGAAGATAGAAAGAGCCACCACACCTCATCTGAAGAAAGAGGTGACGATGGAGACCAGTTGACCAGAGAAGAGCTTCAAATGCTTCGTAAGATACTTGAAAAACAAAACAAGTCAAAATCTGTTCCCAACGTGAACTTGATACAGTCAGGTAACTCCATTATAGCCCTTAATGCAATGGTAACTAGTGATGAGACTTGGATTATTGACTCCGGTGCTACCGATCACATGACTGGTAATAAGTCCTTCTTCAAGTCCCTCAAATATTGCCATGAGAACCTCAGGGTAAAAGTAGCAACTGGACTATATACAAAAGTTGAGGGTGTTGGCATTGTGGCTCTATCTGACGATCTGGAAATCCATAATGTTTTGTTTGTCCCTGCCCTTACTTGCAATCTTATTTCTGTGAGCAAATTAACTAAAGGGCACGTATGTCGGGTGATCTTTGATGATGTTAAATGTGTTTTTCAGGATTCGACCTCGGGAAGGAAGATTTTGACTGCTAAAGAATGGGATGGACTCTACTACTTTGAAGGAAAGGATATGAAGATAGCAGGAGCAAAGAAAGCTATGGTTAGCTCAAATTCTCAAAATAAAAATGTAATGTTGTGGCATCTAAGATTAGGCCACCCCAGCTTTGATTATATGAAGCATGTGTTTCCAACTTTATTCAATAAAAATTCTTCTCCTTTCCAATGCGAAACGTGCCAAATTACCTACTGCCCCGTTCACAATGATCCATACCGACATTTGGGGACCTGCCAAAACCAACACCCGAACAGGCACAAGGTGGTTTATCACATTCATAGATGATCACACCCGGGTCACATGGGTTTACCTTATGAAAGAGAAATCCGAAGCCTTACCAATTTTCAAAAACTTTTGCTCGTTTGTGAGAACCCAATTCCATACTCCCATCAAAGTTTTGAGAAGTGACAATGCCAAAGAATACGTGAGTGGGGCCTTTAGGGAATTTCTTGAGCAGGAAGGAATCCATCACCAAACCTCATGTGTCTATACCCCCCAACAAAACGGAATTGCTGAGCGAAAGAATAGACATCTTTTGGAAGTGACTCGGGCTATTATGATGGAAAGAAACGTTCCGAATATGTTTTGGGGAGATGCTGTATTGACCGCAGCTTACCTTATCAATCGCATGGCCTCCAAAATCCTCCATTTCACTACCCCCATTCAGAAATTCCTCGAGACTTACCCCGCCTCACCTATCATCAATTCCATTCCCCAAAAGATCTTTGGGTGTGTTGTCTTTGTTCATAAACATGATGGCGGCAAACTAGGTGCTAGAGCAGAAAAATGTATTTTCCTCGGGTATTCTTCCACCCAAAAAGGGTATAAGTGTTATAGTCCTACTACCAGAAAACTCATCATCTCCAAAGATACCGTCTTTTACGAGGATGACGCTTACTACCCCAAATTACCCATTCAGGGGGAGCACTATGGAGTAGAATGGCTAATTACACCTGAACCGATAACCACCTCCAACCTACCTCTTAACCCTCTTGAATCTCTTGAATCTTCCACACCTCAAGAAGAAATCCCTGAACCAGAATCACAAACCCAAAACACCACAAACACTCCTCACCCAATGGAAACCAATGCTGAAATTGATGCAGGGGTGACAGAGCACTCAAGTTCTCAATCAAGTAGTAGGGTTCCTTCCATTCCAAGGCAGCAACATGATTCCAATCCGGAGTTGGATCCTGAAGAGCTGGGATGGCCTATTGCACTCAGGAAGGGGGTAAGATCATGTACTCAGCATCCTATTCAAAAATTTGTCTCCTATGGCAATTTATCTGCACGAATGCAAACTTTTGTGGTGAATAGTTCACAGGTGAAGATTCCAGAAACATTTCAACAGGCTATGACAGATCCTAATTGGAAACATGCTGCATATGAGGAGTTAAGAGCCTTGAAGGAAAACAACACGTGGGATATTACCACACTTCCTAAGGGCAAGAAAGCAGTGGGCTGTAGGTGGATCTTTACCCCTAAATTCAATCCTGATGGAAGCATCAACAAGTACAAAGGAAGATTAGTGGCTAAAGGGTACACTCAGACCTATGGGATTGATTATCAAGAAACGTTTGCTCCTGTGGCAAAATTTAACACCATCCAGGTACTCCTATCCCTTGCTGCTAACCTTGACTGGTCTCTACATCAGCTAGACGTGAAGAATGCTTTCCTAAATGGAGATTTGGAGGAGGAAGTATACATGGAAATTCCAGATGGAGTAATAGCTCCACCCAACTCAGTTTGCAAATTGAAGAAATCATTGTATGGCCTGAAACAGTCTCCACGAGCTTGGTTCGACAGGTTTGCCAAAGCAATCAAAAGATTTGGTTACATTCAAGGACAAGCTGATCACACTCTTTTCGTCAAACACAGTGATGGAAAGGTAACGATCCTAATTGTGTATGTGGATGATATAGTCATAACTGGCAATGATGAGGTTTCTATCTCCCATCTCAAGAAAGCCCTGGCTAGGGAATTCCAAGTGAAGGACCTAGGACAAATGAAGTACTTTCTTGGAATGGAAGTTGCTAGATCCAAAAAGGGTATAAGTGTGTCTCAACGAAAGTACACACTTGACTTACTCCATGAAACAGGAATACTTGGGGCTAAGCCTAGTGAGACTCCTATGGAAGAGTCATGCAATCTGGAAGTGAAACCAGACGGGACACCAGTTAACTCAGAAAGGTACAGAAGACTTGTGGGTAAACTGATCTACTTGACTCATACAAGGCCTGACATTAGCTATGCAGTTGGAGTGGTAAGCCAATTTATGCATCAACCCCAGGAAGAACACATGGAAGCAGTATACAGAATCCTCACCTACCTCAAACTCAATCCTGGAAGAGGAATATTCTTTCGAAAGGGGAATACAAGGAACATAGAGGTCTACACTGATGCAGATCACGGGAGAGCTGTGGATAACAGGAGATCAGTCACAGGATACTGCACTTATGTTTGGGGAAACCTAGTCACTTGGCGAAGCAAGAAACAAACAGTAGTCTCAAGGAGCAGTGCTGAAGCTGAGCTAAGAGCTGTGGCCCTCGGGGTATGTGAAGGAATGTGGGTGATTAGACTCCTGAAGGAATTGAGAATTTCCTATGAAGGACCTATGAATCTCTGGTGTGATAACCAAGCAAGCATTGAAATGACCAAAAATCCTGTGTATCACGACCGAACAAAACATGTTGACATTGATCGGCACTTCATCAAAGAAAAGGTCGAAGATGGCACCATTAACTTGAACCATGTGCGTTCAACTGATCAGATTGCTGACATCATGACCAAGCCGTTGGCCAGAGTCAAGTTTGAAGGGCTTCGAAGCAAGCTGGGAATGGTTGACATTTACTCTCCAGCTTGAGGGGGAGTGTTAGAAGCCGTGATCTTCTCCCCTATATTCTCCCTTGATTTACTCTATAAATTACCTAGAATAAGTTCCTGATTTCTTGTGATATTGCATTATTCTGATTGATTGTAATCTCTTTGCATCATTATTATTGATTGTAACCGGATTGCATATTTCCATCCGGACTCTATATATTGTACCGGGATCATATGAAATAATATGAGTGAATTTACAAACTCTCAAACAATAGTAGACAGCTAACCAATTACCATCAAAAAATCCAGAGCACTTAAAGCTACCTGTAAGTTGTGCGATAATAAGATACTTGCTTAAAGAAATTCACTGATTAAGGTCGCAAGTTAAAAGACCAAACAAACAAAATACAAGTTAAAAAAAACCATTTCATTCATCTACACACAACAGCTTAAGCTTTCAAAATGAACAGTACTTTGATATGAAATAAAATCAAGTCTTAAGGTTGACATTAGGTCCTTGCGTACCAAGTCTCAATCTCACAATTCAGAACTCAAATAGTGTGAAGAGAAGACAGATGCTGTTAGCAAAAACGGGTAGAAAATTTGAAGGTCTGAAAAAACCTCATCAGTCATCATGTTGTGTAGAAAGATAGGAATAAGGATATGGTTGAAGATCTCATTTTGCCCAAATAGAGACCCATAGTCTCCTTGCTGGGTATTCCAGTTGATTAAAATACTGTGTATTCCTCATTTTTAACTTCTCAGTTTACTTTGCATTAGCTTTTGACAAGACGTGCACGAACATCTATAACCAAGGAATTTGAAGTTCAATTCATGTCTGCTCATTCCAATAATGGAAACTAAAAGTCCATCGCATGATAATGATAGTAACTGGCTTGTGCTTTATCCACCAACAGTCGGTATCCATAAAATCATTCACAAGCTACCATGTAAGAGTTTAAATTAAGGTTTAATAAGGTTGAACATTTCTTTAGCTACATGCAAGGCAGCATCACATATAAGTTTTATACCTTAAAGAGTAAAGCCAATATGATTTTCATTTTGGCGTGGACACTTGTTTAGAGGATTTGTACATATTGATGTAAAATAGTCCCAAGCATAATAAAAACATTTGCCTCTAAAATCAAGCTGTAATTGAGAAACTGACTGACCGAGAAGAAAATTTTTCTCCGACGTCGGCGTCCACCAAGGTCGTGATTGCAAGTCTTCAAGGAAGGTCAGAGACTTTGATCCAATCTCATTAGAGAGCTCAAGGAACGGAATTCCACATTTCAAGCTTTTGAGGACACCCTAAAAAATATTTGACATATCTATTATCATATGTATTAGAGGTAGTCACCAACAGCCAATGTTAAAAGACATTAGTTACCTCCTCTTCTTCAATATTATCTGAATTCTGCTTTAGCTGCAGAATAGGCGCTTCAACCCTAGCCACTAGATACTGACTAGAGCGTTGCAACTGTTCTTTAAACTGCACAAACTCAATCACCTGAAATACAACGTACGTTTATAGCCTCAGTCACATATAGTGGCATCATATTTTAAGAATTCACAACAGAAAATGAGCCTACAATTTGTTTGGTTCCTCAAGTATTATAGAACTTTTATTTTAATCACTTTAGCTTAAACAGAAATTGTCACTTATTTTTTAGTGACCCAATTTTATCATTTCCTTCATATCCATCCAAAATTTAAATCAAATTCAACAAATATGTTGACTTGGACATTAGAGTTGATAGAAATTTAGAATCACATAAATAAATAACTAGATGCAGTTCCCTCACAACGTCTGAGAAACAAACTATTCATCAATTACGAATAATACTACCAGGCAAAGAATTTATAATATATTATATCACATTTATATATCGATGACTCAATAATCAAATTGTTAAATTCCACAACATATTTATATAGATCATGAGGGGTGAAATTAGATCATTTTACGAAAAACTCATGAACATTCTTCGACATATAATCAACAATAAAAATAAATACAGATCAATCTCTAAATATATGCTAATATATTTGGCAAAAAGAACCACTCCCAGCTTTGAGTTATTAACAAATCTGCACAAGAGCGGTAAGACTTTAACCTACAACAATCTCAAAGAGACCTTTTTTATCCTTTAAAATATAATCAAGTCTCAAAATCCTCCAAGTTATCAATGATTTAAGAACCTAATCTATTATATCCAATGCAAAATAATTTTTTCTTGGGCAGTGGCAGGACCAAAAGGCAAAAAGCACCTCAAGTATGAAAATGGCTGGTAAATAAGCATTGTTTAGAGCAACAACACACTTTTAGAGTTCATCTGTTAGGGATGCAGCAGGTTTAATATTCTTTCTCGTTTTGAATTTATGGTTTTCAACTGTTTTCTGAGAGGATAAGATAAAATCTTTTTTTATGCTTGTGTGTGTGTGTGTGTTTTTTTTTTTTTTTTGGGTTGGGGGGGGGGGGGGCTTTCTTCTCTCTTAATATGATCTTCTAGTTCAAATCTTTAAAATGTATGAATGCCACAAGCAACGCACTCGAAGAGAAAAAGCTTTTGAAGACTATGCATACTTTTGAGTAATTTCTGTGGCGATATGCATGAAATGTTAGATCAGCAGATTCTCTTAAATAGTCATCCATAAACTTGAGGTAATCCTTCAGCAGACCGTCTAGTTCTGTCCACAGCGGAGACACCAACATCTGAGGATATATATGGTGCGAAAGGGTTTCCATCAAAATATTCTTTACATCCAATGATTTATACCTGAACAGAACAGAAACTAGAATAAGCATTGACGACGCAAACAAGGTAAAATTGAAACAATCAAACCACCTGACCATTCATATGCCACAGAAAGAGCGCCTATATAAGAATAGAGGTGCAACAGCAAGATCTTGTACTGCCAAACATATCTACAAAAGGAAACATGGCAGCCACATGACATCATCAGAATTTAGCTCAAGGCCCGGCGGTCTGAAGTTACAAAACTTGTAAATAAAGCGGTGTGCTACAAATGCCAAATTGAAAAGTATCCAAGATAAGAACACACTGATCCATCCTTGATGAAAAAACTACACCAGGTACAGATGCAATTTATAACCTCAACTCAACCATATAATTACATTATGTTACAGTAAACGACAAACACGAAAATGGCAATAACCAATAAAAACTATACGAGATTTATATCCTTCATATTTCTTCAAGACATTTAGAAGACCATGACCATATCATCCAAGAGCCCACTTGCAACTACGGAGTGCGACATCTATTAGTTCAAGCACAAAGTAAGGGCCCCAAATTTCTACATCCAACTTTCATAAAGATAAAAGCAAATCTAATTTCAAATAAAGAATAACACAAACAATAAAGTTTTGATTCAATCAGCATTATCTAATTAGAAATGCTATTCTAAAAACAAATTCGAAACAAATCCCCAACAGTTTCAGCAAGATAGTTATCTAATTATCTAATTAAGTTATTGAACGAGATCTTTCAATTAATAATATATCTAAAGATTTTGCCTTGAATAGAGCTCCGATGTTATGCGATCCATGTAGCTGACCACACCTAATGGGATAAGGCTTTGTTGTTGCTATTGTTGTATCTTGTGACTAAAAACACATTTGCACTAGACAGATTCTCAAAAATAATTGCTTAAAATTACATATTTATAATATTAGACACAGTAAAAAAAAAAAAAACTCAAGAACACAGATCTGCAAGATTTGAATGCATTAAAAAAAAAAAAAAAAGCATAGACCAGAGGTGATAAATGATAGCAAGATCTGCATGACTTCAACAATTTTCCTTCACCTAATGCACTTTTAATTCAGGCTCCTAAATATGACGCAAGAGAATTGCTGACCTTCGTATTGCCAAGCCAAACTCCAAAACCATAATAGCCTCTACTAAATAACCGACATTTTTAGTGCGCCAGAATAACTGTACCAAAAAAATTAAAATACATTAACAGTGGCCATAGCATCCATGAAAGTTTTTTATATGTTGAAGATTATCAATAATTTATTTGTAAAAGACAACATTGTCAACAATCTATTTGTGAACCAAAACATTATTATGCAATGTCACATACATGTAGCCTAAGCATCAATGTAACACAAAAAAAAAAAAAAAAAACCAAGGAAGCAATAAAAATTCTCCTTTGATAACGATACCAACTACATGGAAATGAAGTTCATTCCAACCAAAAAAAAAAAAAAAAAACGACACTTTTCTGTTAAATGTCTTGATTTGCTAAACTTTTAAGGGGTCAACAAACCTTCCAACTTAAGATAGTTCTTCAAAGAAGGAAACCTTAAAAATAAGAGGCTTGTAACTGGCACATTTCTCCGGAGAACTGTGTTGAACGGTATGGGAGACTCTAAAATCAAGCTTAATCTGAGAGATCAGCAGAACATGGTTTTAAAGAGGTAACACTTGAACATTTCCCGCCAAAGCATGTGTTCGTGTAAAAGAATGAAATTATAAGACTTACTAGTAACTATCTATGATGAATTACTCCTTATATTTAAAAAAGAAAGAAAAATAAGAACTTTGATGAATTCTTAAATGGAAGGTTATGTCTCAATGATGTTATCCAGCCAACCAAGTCGGCAGGTTTATCGTTGGTGATCCCAAAATTAATATGTATTCTGCATTCTCTCTTTCAACTAATTAATGCACAGAAAATGTAGATAATCCAGCACAACAACTGTCACCAATACATGAACTATCCATCTCAACCACAATGTCATTTTCTGTACCTACTCCAACCCCTAAAACAAGTGTAGATAACAGAATATAATATATGTTAAAAGCCTGCAGATTCGATCTCGTGTATAAAGGGAATGGGGGAGCTATAACAGGAATCGTGCAACCCCTTTAACTTTATTTTTGCCAAAATCAAAGAAATTCAGAAATTTTAACACCACATACCTGAACCAACAAATTACAAATTAATAAAAGCAGCTCCTCACCCTGCATGCTCTCCTGCGGATCCAAGTCCTTAGAAAAAGCAACACTTTTGCAATATACTTCAGCCATTTGTACACAGCAGACTTCAAGCTCTAGAACAAGTTCAGATGAGCTTGTATAAATGGCCAGCCAATACTCAATACTCAAAAATGAAAGCTCAGATTCAACTCAGTCTAAACTCTGAACTAGCTAAGTGTGAATAATTTCTTATTTTCTTAGAAAACACTGAACTGAATAATGAAACAATGCACACGTGTGCACCACTACAGCAGACCTACCACTTAATGAAGACTCAAACATGTCACCCATCAATAATTGTTGGATCTTGAAAAAGGAAAGAGATCGCCCAAGATTCTTTGCTGGCACGGTTGTCAAGGGATCAGAATTTTTCTTTAACTTCTCCAAAAGTTCCATCTTCTTATTGGGATTGAGTACTTCAATAAACATCTCAACGTCACTAGTAAAGCAGGGCAAGTGACCAAACCTATAACCATAAAATCAATTCTTCAATTTTAACGTTACACTTTCCAGTGCTGCACTTTTTCAAGCACTATAAAAGAGAGGAAGGAACCAAATTCTAAGAAAATCACTAAGCACCAACCCAGCCAAGAGTTGCACACATATGATCACTAAACCTTAAAGAGAAGTATTGAAAAGCAGCATTAATTTGACTGATTACACGAGGACAGAAAGATCTTGGAGCAGACTTATCACATTTATAACATAAACAAAACTAACACATCATGAAGAACTACTGATACTTAATGTTAGAAAGCCCCTGATTATCTCCCTTGATTCTCTCCATTTATTGCCCATGATATTAGCTAGAAGATATATTTCCTGATTTATTGAGATATTGCAATATATGTAATTTATGGCTGATTGATTGTAACCGGATATTATTTCTCATCCGGACTCTATATATTGTAACCCAATCATATGGAATAAGATATGAGCATGAAATATTCAGCAAAGTAAACATGGTATCAGAGCATAGGGTTCCTCCTGAACCCAGAAAACTTCGTGCGTCGCTGCCGTGAGAGAGAGAGAGAGAGAACGCGAGGAGAGAGAGAGAGAGTGAGGCGTCCCAGATCTGAAGCCAGGAGCAGACCGTGGACGACACCGCCCCTCCAGTCCTCACCGGCGCCCTCAGATCGGCGCATCCCTTGAAGACGACGCCAAACGGAGCTGCGCGTGAAGCCCACGCGCCGTCACAAGCTCCGCGCGTGAAGCCCACGCGCCGCCACTGCCTCTGCGCGTGAATTGCACGCGCCGCCGCCGGAAACCAACAGTGCCTCCCAGAGATCCAGAAAATGAACCCTTCAGAATTCCCACCCCTTTTTGGGTCCGTTCGTAATATTCCAATGGCCCTTATGTCCGGTACATCCTCAAATACTCAAAGCACTCCTTCTTCACCTTTAGTCACCTCTCAAGCCTCTGATCCAGAACCATCCCTAACCTCTGAACATCAAGCTATGGTGGTGGCTCACAAACTTAATGGTAGCAACTATCTCCAATGGTCTCAAAGTGTATTAATGTATCTACGTGGGAAGCGTAAGGAGAAATATATCAATGGAGAGGCAAAACAACCTTCACATAATGATCCCAAATTTGACACCTGGTTTGCTGAAAATAATCAGGTGATGTCTTGGCTGTGCAACTCAATGACTCTTGAAATCAGTGAAGGATACCTCTTGGCAAGCACAGCTAAGGAAATCTGGGACGCTGCTAAGAGGACTTACTCCACACTAGACAACACTGCAGCCCTATTGGATCTAAGGAGGCAGCTCAAAGATCTGAAGCAAGGAAACTTAACTGTAACACAATATTACAGCACTTTAACGAAGATATGGCAGCAGTTGGATCTCTTTGAAGTTCATCCTTGGAAGGACATGGATGATGCTAATTACTACAGACAACTGGTGGAAAAAGGACGAACCTATGACTTCCTATTGGGTTTGAATGATGTCTTTGAAGAAGTAAGAGGCAGAATTATGGGTCTAAAACCGCTTCCCTCCCTATTTGAAGTCTTCAGTATGGTCAAGTTTGAAGAAAGCCGGAGACACCTCACTCAGGGTAACCAAACCCCAGTAGATGGCTCAGCATTAGTCATGAGGAGGTCCCCAACATTCGAGGGATCTGAGAAGAAAGGGAACAAGTGGTGCAATCACTGTAACAAGAAAGGCCACACCAGAGACGAATGTTGGAAACTACATGGGAAACCAACCCAAGGGAAGCAGAAACAACGGGAAGATAGAAAAAGCCACCACACCTCCTCTGAAGAAAAAGGTGATGAGGGAGACCAGTTGACCAGAGAAGAGCTTCAAATGCTTCGTAAGATACTTGAAAAACAAAACAAATCAAAATCGGTTCCCAACGTGAACTTGATTCAGTCAAGTAATTCTATTATAGCCCTTAATGCAATGGTAACTAGTGATGAAACCTGGATTGTTGACTCCGGTGCTACAGACCACATGACTGGTAATAAGTCCCTCTTCAAAACTCTCAAATATTGCCATGAGAACCTTAGGGTAAAAGTAGCAACTGGACTATATACTAAAGTTGAGGGTGTTGGCATTGTGGCCCTATCTGATGATCTGGAAATCCATAATGTTTTGTTTGTTCCTGCTCTTACCTGCAACCTTATATCTGTGAGCAAATTGACTAAAGGACAAGTATGTCGGGTAATCTTTGATGATGTTAAGTGTGTTTTTCAGGATTCGACCTCGGGGAGGAAGATTTTGACTGCTAAAGAATGGGATGGACTCTACTACTTTGAAGGAAAAGATATGAAGACTGCAGGAGCCAAGAAAGCTATGGTTAGCTCTAATTCTCAGAATAAAAATGTAATGTTGTGGCATCAAAGATTAGGCCACCCCAGCTTTGATTATATGAAGCATGTGTTTCCAACTTTATTCAATAAAAATTCTTTTCCTTTCCAATGTGAAACGTGTCAAATTGCCAAACAAACTCGCGCCTCTTATCCCAAACATACTTACAAACCTACTGCCCCGTTTACATTGATTCATACTGACATTTGGGGACCAGCCAAAATCAACACCCGAACAGGCACAAAGTGGTTTATTACATTCATCGATGATCACACCCGGGTCACATGGGTTTACCTTATGAAAGAAAAATCCGAAGCTTTACAAATTTTCAAAAACTTTCACTCTTTTGTGAGAACCCAATTCCAAACTCCCATCAAAGTTCTAAGAAGTGACAATGCCAAAGAGTATGTGAGTGGAGCCTTTAGGGAATTTCTTGAGCAGGAAGGAATCCATCACCAAACCTCATGTGTCTATACTCCTCAACAAAATGGAGTTGCTGAGCGGAAAAATAGGCATCTTCTAGAAGTAACCCGAGCTATTATGATGGAAAGAAATGTTCCAAGTCTGTTTTGGGGAGATGCTGTGCTAACCGCTGCTTATCTCATCAATCGAATGACCTCAAAAATTCTCCATTTCACTACCCCCATTCAAAAACTCCTCGAGACCTACCCCACCTCACCTATCATCAATACCATCCCTCAAAAGGTCTTTGGGTGTGTCGTCTTTGTTCATAAACATGATGGGGGCAAACTTGATGCTAGAGCAGAAAAATGTATTTTCCTAGGGTATTCCTCCACCAAAAAGGGATATAAGTGTTATTGTCCCACTACCAGAAAACTCATAATCTCCAAAGACACAGTTTTTTATGAGGATGATGCTTATTATCCCAAATTACCCATTCAGGGGGAGCACTATGGAGTAGAATGGCTAATTACACCTGAACCTACAACCAATCCCAACACACATCTTACCACCCCTCTTGAACCTGCCATACCACAAGAAGAAATCATTGTCCCTGACCCTGAACCGGAACCAAAAACCCCTAGTCCTACACCTCCACTAGAGCACCAAAACCCCACAAACACTCCTCACCCGACTCACCCAATGGAAACGAATGCTGAAATTGATGCAGGGGTGACAGAGCGTTCAAGTCCTCAATCAGGTGAGCAGGATAGTAGTAGTAGGGTTCCTTCCATTCCAAGGCAGCAACATGATTCCAATCCAGAGTTGGATCCTGAAGAGCTAGGGTGGCCCATTGCACTTAGAAAGGGGGTAAGATCATGTACTCAGCATCCTATTCAAAAATTTGTCTCCTATGGCAATTTATCTGCTAGAATGCAAACCTTTGTGGTGAATAGCTCACAGGTGAAGATTCCAGAAACATTTCAACAGGCTATGAAAGATCTTAATTGGAAACGTGCCGCATATGAGGAGTTGAGAGCCTTAAAGGAAAATAACACGTGGGATATTACCACACTTCCTAAGGGCAAGAAAGCAGTGGGTTGCAGGTGGATCTTCACCCCTAAATTCAATCCTGATGGAAGTATCAACAAGTACAAAGGAAGATTAGTTGCAAAAGGGTACACCCAGACTTATGGGATTGATTATCAGGAAACGTTTGCTCCTGTGGCAAAGTTCAACACCATCCAGGTACTCCTGTCTCTAGCTGCTAACCTTGATTGGTCTCTACATCAACTAGATGTGAAGAATGCTTTCCTAAATGGAGATTTGGAGGAGGAAGTGTACATGGAAATCCCAGATGGAGTAATAGCTCCACCCAACTCAGTTTGCAAACTGAAGAAATCACTATATGGCCTGAAACAGTCTCCACGAGCGTGGTTCGATAGGTTTGCCAAGGCAATCAAAAGGTTTGGCTACGTCCAAGGACAAGCTGATCACACTCTCTTCGTTAAACACAGTAATGGAAAGGTAACGATCCTAATTGTGTATGTGGATGATATAGTCATAACTGGCAGTGATGAAGTTTCTATCTCCCAACTCAAGAAAGCTCTAGCTAGGGAATTCCAAGTGAAGGACCTAGGACAAATGAAGTACTTTCTTGGAATGGAGGTTGCAAGATCCAAAAAGGGTATAAGTGTGTCTCAACGAAAGTACACACTTGATTTGCTCCACGAAACAGGAATACTTGGGGCTAAACCTAGTGAGACGCCTATGGAAGAATCATGTAATCTGGAAGTGAAACCAGACGGGGTACCAGTCAACTCAGAAAGGTACAGAAGACTTGTAGGTAAACTGATCTACTTGACTCATACAAGGCCTGACATTAGCTATGCTGTTGGAGTAGTAAGCCAATTTATGCATCAACCCCAGGAAGAACATATGGAAGCAGTATACAGAATCCTGACCTACCTCAAACTCAATCCTGGAAGAGGAATATTCTTTAAAAAGGGGAGTACAAGGAACATAGAGGTCTACACTGATGCAGATCATGGGAGAGCTGTGGATAACAGAAGATCTGTCACAGGATACTGCACTTATGTTTGGGGAAACCTAGTCACTTGGCGAAGCAAGAAACAGACAGTAGTCTCAAGGAGTAGTGCTGAAGCTGAGCTAAGAGCTGTAGCCCTGGGGGTATGTGAAGGAATGTGGGTGATCAGACTTCTGAAGGAATTGAGAATTTCCTATGAAGGACCTATGAACCTCTGGTGTGACAACCAAGCCAGCATTGAAATGACCAAGAATCCTGTGTATCATGACCGAACAAAGCATGTTGACATTGATCGACACTTCATCAAAGAAAAGGTTGAAGATGGCACAATTAACCTGAGCTATGTGCGCTCAACTGATCAGATTGCTGACGTCATGACCAAACCTTTAGCCAGAGTCAAGTTTGAAGGGCTTCGAAGCAAGCTGGGAATGGTTGACATTTACTCTCCAGCTTGAGGGGGAGTGTTAGAAAGCCCCTGATTATCTCCCTTGATTCTCTCCATTTATTGCCCATGATATTAGCTAGAAGATATATTTCCTGATTTATTGAGATATTGCAATATATGTAATTTATGGCTGATTGATTGTAACCGGATATTATTTCTCATCCGGACTCTATATATTGTAACCCAATCATATGGAATAAGATATGAGCATGAAATATTCAGCAAAGTAAACACTTAACAAGCCTGAATATTATAATCAGAGACAATTATGACATAAATTACTTAGTGCAAATTGAAAAAGGATCAGCAGGCAGCATTCCGGCAAGAACCAGATTTGTGAGCCTCATCCTGATTTGAATCCCCTTTCAAGCTTTGTCAAATGGCATCAGCCGTCATTAACTTTTCTTACAAACTCCTCAGAAGACACACACTATACACACGAGATTTGAAAAGGAAGAGAATTAGACTTTTCATGGATAATAGGTTTATTGTTAACAAATACCTGCAAAAATATTGCACAATGGCATCCATTAAGTAGTCATCATTCCCCTTCTCACGCAAAAGCTTCCTTCTTTCAACTTCTATAGATGCTAAGTATGGACCCCTTAGAGAGTTATTAGCAGTATCTGCTTGTAACTTTTGTATAAAAGCCGACGCATTTGATACTTGACTATCAAACTGCACTCAGATTGTGCATACATCAAATCCCAAAAAAATAGTAAAACACTGCTCTATGCTCAACTCATTGACAAGGTACAGAATATTAAAGGATAAACATTCACCTCTTCATCTGTCAAGTGGGAGACCTTGCAATTAATAAACCTTGACGGATGAACTGGATCCTTAACAGCCTCATCACACCATATGCTGTCATCTTCCAGCAAGCAGCCCAGGTAATGAAGGTAGGACATCCAATCATCTGGGCTGCCAAAAGGAGACAGCAACAGTAGCAATAAGAAAACCAAAAAGGTATTAGCATGATAAAAAGCTGAAAATGGGTTAAGGCCTGGTCCCTAGAAATAGAAATCCAAAAATTCACTTGATATTGGAAGTCTAGAACTGATGCAAAGGAAGAAGAATTATGGTTTAAATAACAACCGTGCGTATAAATCTGCATTTGTGTATATATGCAGACATATGGAAACTAGCATCACTAAATAATGAAATAAATATCTTTGTGACTCATTGGCAAGGACGCGATATTTTGCTTATGTTATTTTTTTGGTTCACAAGATTGAAAAATGAAGCTTGAACAACTAAAACTCAAAACGAATAGCATATAACCTATATGAATGTACAAATTACCACAAGCAGAATGAATAATAGAATTTAAAAATTTAAGGAGATCAAACCACAGAATTCCATAACAATAAAATTTTATCCTCGGTTTTAAACAGGCTTTTCACACATCATGCCAGCCACTTTGTTGCTACTACTAGCAAAATCATTTATATCCATACAACTGCCATAAGTTTCCAATAAGATTTTCCAAGGTTACATATAAAGATAGATATAAATTCAATGCCCAAAAGCATACCAAGTCTCTAGAATTTTCTTAAAAATAGCTGCAGCAGCGGCATGGTCACCTGCCCTGGCAAGAAGTCTTCCCTGTCAACTTAAAGTCAAAGGACACAGGTTAATGAGGAAAGTCAAACAAGAAATGAAAATAATAGCCCAAGTTGTTTCATTATTGGATCATTGATCAAAACTCAAAATACTGAACAATTCAATACAAAATTTAACTTGTTTCCAAAAGATTTTGCTTGAAACATGTGACACCACGTATTAATTATTTTTTATGCCACAGGAAATACCACATTCACATCAACCCTGGAATCTACATAAATTCCTTTATTTTGAATCTATACCAAATCAAGCACAGGCCGACTCCCAGATATCGAGTTTCCTATTGAAAGAGGCAACCATTTACAATAAAGAGGGAAATATAAAAAGGGTAAAAAGAGGCTACAAAACAGGGGGGAGATCCTGAAAATACCTGTATCCGTAGCTTTTCGACTTCAATCATCAACAATGATCCTAAATTCCCTGAGAGAATTTCTAAAGCATCCCCAAACTTGGCTTGCTGTTCCAAAATGGAAATGTAGACAATAAGAGCTGCAACAAATTCAGAAAAATTTAATACAAACATGATTCATAAACTGAACCTTTCTGATTGTTCATAATATATAAGGTAGAAAAAAGCAAATCACCATCAGGCTCATGCAAGCCATGTGAAGCAACATGTTTCTTGAGTAGACCTTCAGCTAAAAGTAACAGTTTCTCTCCTCCATTGCCACAGAGCACCTATATTCAGTTGCACAAAGAAAAAAGTAAATTCAACATATTTAATCGCATAAATGCATCAAACTCCAAAACAAAATCAGCAATAATGTCACGCCACTGAACCATTGGATTTCATGCAAAAAGCTCAATGTCACAAGTCCAACATCCATCACTTTTTCTTTGCTAGAGTATAATTAATAAATCATATTTATGGTTTTCTACTACTTTCCCATATTATCCATATCACCTTGACATCCACTCAAGCTGAACTCCCTGTTGGAACAAGCATGGCTCAAGGTGCACAAATTAACTTGCAGATAACGAGGCAGAGAAAGGCAGTATAAGGTAGTGAGAAGAACCTGTAACTGGATGCTACAAACTGCCCAAAGCAGAAACCTTTCTTCTCCAACTAGTTTATACATCTTGATAGCTGTCTGCCAATCAGAAAATAATTAATTAAGAGCAAAGTATTGCCCATAAAAAAAGCACAGCAGAAGTTGTGGGAAAAAAAATAGAGGACCGAATAAGATAAAAGAAATAATCATACTGTTATGTAATTATAATTATAAATAAGAAAATATTTAAACATAATATAAAAGGAAAATCCCAGAAAAAGCCCTTGAAATATAAGAAATTCCAGATTGGGTCCTAGAATTTTGAAAATGACAGAAAAGGTCAATGACCCAATCTATCATTTGCAAAATCAAGAGGAATTGACAACTTTGCCCTGATTTGTATTCACTACAATGATTTAAAGAATCACTATAAGGGTTTAGGCGTTACCTAGATTTCTAATCAGTCTAATCATATTGCTCGGATTTATATCTATTAGGGCCTTTGCCTATAAATAAGTATTTGTCATTCTTTGCAACTCAGTTTTGCAATATGATTAGAATGATTAGAAATTATTCAGTTTCTCTTAGTCCGCTACTCTTTTCTAATTCTCCTCTGTTTCTATTACTCTTTTCCATTTCTCTTTCCTCTTTTTCTCTCCTGTTTCTTTACTTTCCATAAGACATACAAACCTGTTGTTGCTTCACAAATGAGTACTCACGAACATAGCAGTTAAATAGTCCCATCATCAGTTCCAGATTAGTTGGGAATTTACTACAGGCGTGCTCATAGCAGCTGGCAGCCAAATCCACTGGTCAAATAGAGAAAGTTTAAACACCTAACCATGATATACATATAACAAGATCACATCAAAGAGAAAACAATACTCACAGTGATCTAATCGCTGAAACACAATCTGAAGCGTACTAAGAGTGAGATCATCCATCAAAAGAGAATCATTTGTAAACAAAAGCTCTTTGGCATTCAAGCAAACAGAGAATGCTTCGTCAGGTTTACCCATTCTTTCCAAAATGAGCGCTTTGAGTGCCTGCAAGACAGATGACAGCATATAATGATAATGATTTCTATTAATGAGTTACAACACCAAATATGGGTGGCAAAAAGGCCAAGCAAGTTTGATCCATGAAAATTTATCTCCTAAACACCTAACCAAAACTACGAAAAAGAAAAGCTCCTTGAATTTCAAAATGAGACGCCTTGCATTTCCGAGAAGCAGTAAAAAAATTGATAAAAATGATGCCGACATCCTCTAAGACAACAATAGTAAGAAGAAAGAAGAGTGCAGGATACTAGCGAGGCGGAAAATAAAAAACGCTAAGATCAGCTACCTAACTCAAAAAAGAGCAACTTAACTTCACAAAACCAAACCCGCATTATAGATAACACTGAATGCATATAAATAAGCACTCACAAGAATTCAAGAACCAATATCAAACTTACAAGTGCATAAGGTGAATTAGGATGCTTAGCAAGAAGCGCAGTAACGTGCTTGAAAGCGTTCTTGAACTGCCGTGAATCAATGGCGTCCCAAATGGGCCGTACCCTTCGCTCGGGAATACCACCGGCTAACCCAAACTTAGACGCCATCAGAGTGAGGATTGGAGATCGACAGCTTCCTGCAGTGCTGGTCTTTCAAACCGTAGGGACGAGAACGTTGTTTACCAGAGACGAAGAAAACTGAAAAGTATCGGAAAAAGAGCGAACCGGAAACCTAAAGGGAGTGTTTGAAGTTGAAAGAATTTTTGTTTTTCTTCGCAGCAAAATATGTTCAGAGAAAACGACACCATCTTGCTCCTTTTTTTGGGCAAAAAAAAGACTACTGGGCCTTAATCTCTTGGGCTAGACTCGAATTGGCCCAATAACCTTGTTTATCTCCCCCCATAACACCGTAACGTAGAATTGTTGCATTAGATATTGTTTTGGCTACCTTGACCAAAAAAAAAAAATGTTTTGGCTACCAACATAAATTACATAAATATGTTTATAAGTACTTAATATAAACAGCATCAAACAAATCTTTTATTTAGGAAGGGGCTTTTTTTGGGTTGATTAGAAAAGAACTAGTTGAATATAAATAATGATGGTAGCTCCAAATTTTACCTATCACACTTGTACACAAATTCCTTTATTTTCAAAGAAATTAGGCTTTTAGTTTCTTTTTCATTTTTTGGGACCATAAATATTTTTAAAGAAATTAGGCTTTTACTCTCTTCCATTTTTTTTGGGACCATAAAATTTTTTAAAGAGATTAGGTTAAATTTGGAGGAGAAAAGATGAACTTCTCCCAACTAGATAGTCCCACGAGTTCAGAAGTGAAATGTTGGTTTGATCGCATGTCTTCTCCTTTGGCATACCCGCGTTTAAAAGGCTGCTTTGTTCCAACGCGCAACGAAACTGGAGGCCGCTTTTCCTTTTCTTTTTTTATTTTTTTTTTTCCTTTTGCCAACAACTAGAAGCTACTTTTTATGAGTTGAGATGCGTCACGCCTGGTAGAGTTGACAAAAGAGAGAGAAAATATTTTTTAAAAAAGGTTAAAGAGTAAATATATCTATAAATTTTTCTCAAATGTGTGCTGGATATTATAAACAAACCTTACGCACAAAAATACGTATGACTACTCCAAAAAAAAAACTATAAAATGCTACAATTATTTAATTCATCAAAGTTGACTTTTTAATTCAAGCTTTTGACCAAATAAAGTGACATGGACACTAAGCTAGCATTTCAGTCTCCCTTTGTTGGATTTTGGGCTTGGATCCGCCCTTGATGGGCCGGATTGTTTGACCGGGTATAAAGAGAATATACCAGTCAAATATCCAGGCAATATTGTGATATGTTTGACTTGGTCAAACACTCTGAATCATATCCAATCGGTTACGATATAAATCTAATTAATTTAATATTAAATTAATTAATTTATATTGTGTAGATTAAATATATATTAAGTATATATATTTAGAATTAATTGTGATTGATTCTGGATTTGAATTCAAATATCATGATATCATGAGATAATGATATATTTATATATCCTATTTCAGATTTTTATCTGATAGGCTCAGTGGATATTTTGGCTATCCAAATTATCCCTGACAAAAGCTATAAATAGAGGCTTCCTCCCATCAGTTCAAATCACTCCAGTAGTAGAGCTTTCCTACTATATATCTCTCTCTCTTATTTTCTTTCTTGCAAAGAGGTGCTCTGCTGTGCATTTAAAAGCTTAGACTTTTATAATCTAGCTTAAGCGTGAGCTAAGAAGATCCGACGACCCGACCCGAGATCTGACCCGGTACGTTTTCGATCCATGTCCTTTTTATTCTAACACCCTCCGATCCAAAATGATATTCTCTCCTTCATATTGCACCTTCATTGAAGAGAAGGCCAGCTAAAACTCTTCGCAAAATTTACTCCTTTATTTCATATGTCTAAGTCTCTCTTTTTCCAAGGAGAACAATACTACTATCTTTTGGTTACGCCTATTACATCTCCTCTAGTTATTGATTAATGAAAACTAGAATGGAGCTGAGAATGTAGCATTATTTTTCTTGGAACAAGAGAGATTGAGAGAGATGAAATGAAGAAGTGAGTGCTATAGAGAGCTTCACCTTGTCTTATTCTATTTGAGGGAGACTGAAACACGCTTATTTGCAAAGAGGGGGAAGTTACACTTGAAGGAGGAAGATTGAAATGCTAACTTAACCTCTGTGTTACCTTATTTGGTCAAAAGTTTGAATTAGACTGTCATATTTAATGAATTAAACAATTGTAGCATTTTAGGATTTTGGAATGATCGTAAATATTTTTACACCCAAGGTTAATTTATGGTGTAGTCAGTATCAATGTAATAAGAGTCAGGTCTAGAAATGTATGGATGCATATGGATCCTAGCACATGCTGTGATAGTAGCTGCCAATTGAACCGCTGATATCCGTGGAGGGCACAACTCAGAGTTAAACACACATTTGACAAAAGTTCATAAGTATATTTGTACTTTTACTCTTTTTTTATTAGACTCTCTAAGCCACATAAGCGTTCACGTCATCATTTTTGATCAAACAAATTGTCAACATTACAATAATTAATAGTCGTGACATTTTTGTAACTTTTTGAAATCTTGATGTGTATTTTTACACTCAAAATTTGTTTATAATATTAGATACACATTTGGTATAAGTTCATAGGTATATTTATATATTAGTCCTTTAAAAAATGGATGGGCGGCTGATTCTCTAACACTTATTTAGATAATATAGTGAAAAGTAAGTTTAGATATAAAATGGTTAAAAAAGACACAAATTTTATTTAATATTATATGCACATGATGTGATAATTTAAGAGAAATATTAAAATTAAAATTATAAAAATAAAAATAATTAATGTATTATTGGACAAAATTATAAATACTAAAAAACATTGAATATTATTTTTTTGGTAGATTTTAGAGTTTAATGGAAGTTTAATTATAGATCAATTGGGCTCGTAGACAGTTGACTCTTATTTAAATTTTATTAGTAAGTTTCCCCCCCCTTTCTCAGGAACTTTGCAAGCATCAAGTTATTTGATAGTACAGCTTTATCATTTTTTATTAGTACAAGTGGGAACCACTTTTTAAAAAATATATACAAAAGATTTTCTTTCTTCCTTCTTCACTGTTGTTGTTACTTTTCTCTCTTACGAGAAAATAACTTCTTTCGATTTTAAATATAAAATTTATTTTATAATGTAATTTATATTTTAAAAAAGTAATTATTATTATTTTTTCCGAAACAGCTCAATGTAACTTTCACACATTGACGTGGCTTTTGGCTTAAGCCATTCCATCATATCACTAATTCAAACAAGGCTCTCGAGATTCAACGTCCTTTTTTTTTGTTAAACACGGCTTTTTATCCTGTAAGCGCAATGTCAAACACAACCTCATTCGTGATAGAAACGAGATGAAGAGGTCGGGAAATAACAGTATTTAAGCTTATGAAAAGGAAAATAAATTAAAAGACCAAAATAATAATAATAATAAATTAAATTTACATATAAACTAGTTTTTCATTATACTACCATTTAAACAAATTTTAGTTTATCAAAATATTTTTTAATAAAAATATATCTAAATATAAATCATATTACATTAGTTGGCTTTTATTCTAACTTCAATTTGTAAAATTCAATTAAAATAAAAGTTATTTTTATCAATACAAATCCAAATGAGCTGTTAAAAAACGTCTTTCATCAAGATAGTTGCGGAAGGCAAAGGGCTGAGAGTCACGGGTCAAATAGATCCATAAGAACTTCCCTTCATTTAGACACGGAATGCAAGGGACTAGTGTTGGGGTCAACTAGATTTGGAACATGCATAAAACTGTCCCTTTTTTTTTTTTTGGGCTAGGCACAAATATTCTATTATTAGGGGCAATTATTTTTTAGGTAATGTTAGGTACTAAATATAAACAGCTTTTTAATAGATATTCAAATATTAATTCGTCATGTTGTGAGATATTAACTCCTTTCACTAAATTCAATCTCTATTGGTAACTATCATTTTCTCTTAGTAAGAAGGGCAAAGTGTAAAATTTGATAATCTGACTTCCAACTACTTATTGAAAGGGCAAAAGTCCTCAATACCCCTAACAAATTGAATTGTTGCTGATGTAACATATTAGTGAAACCAGAACTTTAGGAAAAAAGTTTAAAACTTGTTTAAGACCCAAAAGAAAAGTGTTAAAAAAATCTGCAAAAAATGCATATAATCCTTATAACAACGGTCCAACTGAATTTTGTAGCACGTTCCAAATCTTGGAGTACAAACATATGAGTATTACCACGCATTAAATCTTGAGGAATGAAGAATTGATATATCGATAGGCATTTGGTTCTTGTTAAAGAAGTTTTGATCATTTAAGCACGAGATCTCAAGTTTGGATCTGTGTGAATGAGATATTTTTAATTGGGCTCGACAATGCTCGAGTGTGACTTGGTTAAATAATCATATAAAAAATTAATATTATTATGAGGGAAAAAAAGGTTCATAAATGAGATATGATTACAGGACACACTGCCAAAAAAATGGCTTTTAACGGCGGTTAATTGAGGCTTTTAACGGCGGTTTTGGAGGCGGAGTAAAAAGAGTCGACGTTGAAAGGATAAGAAAACACAGCGGTTATTAACCGCCGTGGAAAATAAACTTTCAACGGCAGTTTTATGGAAAACTGCCGTTGAAAATAAAATTTCCATGGCGGTTTTATCTCAAAACTGCCGTGGAAAATGAATTTTTACACGGCGGTTTCTTGATAAACCACCGTGGAAATTTTATTTTCCACGGGGTTTTCCATAAAACCGCCGTTGTAAATTGATTTAACGGCGGTTTCTTGAATAACCGCTGTTAAATGTTATATTTTTTTTTAATTCGTCTTTTTATATTTTACCACCTCCTTGCAGTTTAGGTTCCCAAATCGGTAGACTAATATATATATGCAGCACCATTTGAAGATTACCAGATGAACACCAAAGCATTATCTCAACAAAACTATTTGAATATTACCATATATGAACATCAACTATAGTTAACAATCAAAAAATGAACCACTACGTGAGGAAGCTAAGAGACCTTAGTACTTGACATTTTAAAGATTCTCTAACAACGTGGTTGACAAAGAGTCTCTTATCAAGTTGATCTCGTCCATGCTATATGGCATAACATTTTCGAATGCTT